GGTGGCATGCTGCTTTGTAAATATCAAGACCGACCAATTAACTTGTCTTTCTTAGGTGCTTTGGAAATCATATATTGATTTTGAAATTGAGCAGGAAGAAACGGAAAGAACACGAAACCTTTACCGACGGTTGCTTCAACGGACGCAGCATGTCAAGGTATTCTTCCTTTGTAGATGATATTTCATTTTGTTTGAATCTGTCCTGAAGAAAATACTGTATTTCTTGTATTTTAAGTGTTTGGAGTTTTTTTTCTTTTGTTTAATGACTTCCTTGCTTTTTAAGAGAAACGTGAGTCTCAGAGGACTTGGGAATGTTTGAAATGTTGAGTTTATACCAGGTCATTGTTTAATCTGCATGTGAATAGCTTGGGTATCACAAGATTGAAAAAAAAGTTGAACTCCTTTTACAATTTTAAGACTGTGTCAGACATTTAATTGTAGAATGTAGAAATAAATTGCTTCAGTGTTTATATGTAAGCATATATTCATTGTTTTGATCTGTGAAACACTAGTGATGAACGCATTACTTTCAGATGTCATTAACTGGGAATTCACTTTATTATTATTATTACATTATTGTCTTCTGAGTGACATGGTTAATTTGGTTCAATAATACCTTTTTTTAAAGGTATGGATCAGCTTTGCTCAGTTTGAGTTGTCTTCAGGAAAAGAAGGAAGTTTGGCTAAATGCAGACAAATTTATGAAGAAGCCAACAAAAGCATGCGAAACTGTGAAGAAAAGGAAGAGAGGCTTATGCTGCTGGAATCTTGGCGAAGCTTTGAAGAAGAATTTGGAACAGCATCAGATAAGGATAGAGTAGACAAACTCATGCCAGAGAAAGTCAAGAAGAGAAGAAAGGTCCAGGCTGACGATGGGGTAAGAACTCTGCCCTGGGAGTGTTCCTTTCACATCACATGAGTAGAAACACATCTGACTTTGAAATTTGTACTTTTAAGTGGCATAAGTACATTGTTAAAATGGAAGCACACCACCTGGAGTAGGAGATGGTTGCAGTCTGGCTGTTGTGGAAACACAGGGTAGAGCCTATGGTCCAGTCAGAAGTGGACAATGGGAAGGGGTTGGCAAAGGTGTTTTGGTGATGGTTGAGTCTGGGAACTACATGAAGTGTGATATTTTTAGAGCATTAAATAGGAAGTCAGCATGGAGGAAGCTGGCTTTGAATTTTCAGATAGGAGCTAATCCAGAGAAGGCTTGAAGGTGATAAGAAGGGGTTTGTTAGGAGTCAGTGAAGGCTGTTTTGCATAAAATGGCGTGACCAGATTGCTGGCATCTCCTACTGGCAGACTTAAGGGGCTTAGATTGGAAAAAGAAGACCCATCAGGAGGCAGTTTTTATAAGCCGAATAAGACATGGAAGGTGGAACTAGAACAGGGCCTGTTAGAACAGTATTTGGAAAGTGAGATCAGTGACTGATAGGAGGTGAGGACAGGACGGTAGGGAGTTGGAATAATAATGCACAGACGTATGGCTTTTCTACTGGATGAATGTTATATAAAAATGGTTGAACATTTCCTTAAATTAAGACTGCACAATGGAGTTGGAGACACTCAACACCTTGGTTGGCTATAGAGGAGCTGTGCTTAGAGTTTTAGAATTTTTTCTACCAGTTCTTCAGTTCTCACTGAGCTGCAGTCGCTGCTTACTCACTCCCAGTCTTTCAGACCCAGCCCTTGTTCTTTCCATAGTAGACTTTGATGTTGTTTTGTAAAATGGAGGTAAGTTGAACTTGGGGTTTCTAATAAAGATTCTTCACTCTGATATGTGAGTATATCAGCCACATGTTTGCTTATCTTTTAATCGTTTTATTTCTGTAGTCCGATGCAGGCTGGGAAGAATACTTTGATTACATCTTTCCAGAAGATGCTGCCAACCAACCTAACCTCAAACTCCTGGCCATGGCCAAACTATGGAAGAAACAGCAGCAGGAAAAGGAGGATGCTGAGCACAGTCCAGATGAGGATGTCGATGAGAGTGAATCCTGATCTTTTTCATATTGACAAATGTTTTGTTATTTTTATAAATTAATTGTTTGGAACTTTTGTGACTCCCGGAAGTTCTTATATATTTCACCAGTAAGAAATTGATTGGTATCTTTGATAGCTACTTTTTAAAATTATTTTTTAAATGCCCTTGGGTTATCTAGTGGTGGGGATTGCAAGTAAAGGACTTTTTTAACTGCTGGATTTCTTTTTCTAGCTGAGATCAAACTTTTCTAACATCTGTACACATCATGCATTAGGAAATGTAATTAAGATAACGTTTAGCATCTATTTTGGGTGAAGTCGCAGACTTTTGAGCCTTTTTTTTTTTTTTTAGCTTTTCGGTTACATTTTTTAACTTTTCGTATCATAACCATAGTTTATGCATTCATCTGAAATGTGTAACTTCGTCATGTCTTCAGAGTCACAGACTTGAGTTCATTTCCCAGCCCTGCCATTCGTGATTATGTAACTTAATTTTCATTTTCCTCATAAAATGGGCCAATACTTATGGCAACTCATTTTGAAGATTATATTATAAAAGGAATATACCTGGTGCATGTAAGTGCTCAGTAAAATGTTTGTTCTAAGCCACTTTTTATTTTTTATTATTTTTTTTAAAGACGGGGTTTTACCATGTTGGTCAGGCTGGTCTTGAACTCCCGACCTCAGGTGATCCGCCTGCCTTGGCCTCCAAAGTGCTTGGATTACAGGCGTGAGCCACCACTCCCGGCTACGTTCTAAGCCACTTTTAAAAATAGTTTCATTCCTTGTGGAATTGAATGTGAATGGATTAATTTACCGTGTCTTCTACTAGTGGCCAGTTATATTAAGTGCTTTTTAGAACATTACTTGGAAAATAATTTGCAGTGATTATATTTCTGAACAAGGTTCAGAAAACATTGTTTACCAAGAATAATTTAGTCTAATTTCAGTTAGGCACTCATCAGTTCTCCAGGGTGGTAGAGCTTCGTAATAGCTTGTTTAAAGAATAATGGCTTGTTTACATGTGTGCTACAAAAAATGATGTCCCATGTTCACATAAATTTGGGAAACTCTGGACTAAGACTTAAGTCTCATTAGTCAAATCCCTTTATAGTTAGGCTTCTGTACATTATGTATCTCCAGTAGCAGTGTTGCTGTATCCTTTCCCAAACTTAGTGGACAGTGGAGTTATTTCTACCTAGATTACCAGTAAACATCTCCGAGTGTGCTATAGTAGAAAATGTCGGGAGGCCAAGGCGGGCGGATCACAAGGTTAGGAGATCAAGACCATCTGGCTTAACAGGGTGAAACCCTTTCTCTACTAAAAATATAAAAAGTTAGCCGGGCATGGTGGCAGGTGCCTGTAGTCCCAGCTACTTGGGAGGCTGAGGCAGGAGAATCACTTAAATGTGGGAGGCAGAGGTAGCAGTGAGCCGAGATCGTGCCACTGCATTCCAGCCTGGGCGAGACTCCGTCTCAAAAAAAAAAAGAAAGGGTCTACTTAACATTGCTGACATGTTAAACTTACTCTTGGTTTAGAGCATGGGTAGAAACACCTAAGGTAACTCTATGCTAAGTAATGAAAAGTAGCACAAGCATGAATATATTTGCTGATATGTTGCTCACATTCTCAAGCTAAAAACATTTGAGTGCATTAACTGATCTGAGAGTTTATTTCCTTTAGCTTGGACTGTGTTTCTGAAGCACATTTTTTCTTTGTTCACTGCTCAAGGACTAGAACTATATTTTTAAGACTGTTTTCCCCTAAAAGGACCTTTAGTAAGCAAATTTATTATTAAATATGCAAATGTCTTATTCACCCAAGGGAATAAAAGCTACTTCATAATGTTACTAAAATTTTATCTTGAAAATAGCATACAGTGTTAAGAGGACAGAAGAAAATAGGGCTGTTAAGATAAAAGGCAGTTCTGTTTTCAGCTTGACTGCTTTAGTCACCGGACCAGCCAGCATCAGCTGCTGCGGTGTCAGATCACATCTCAAGTAGAGGTCTGTCAAATGAGTGATCAGGAGAATATCATCTTAATAATAAGCCTTAGGCTCATCCACAAGTCAGGGAGTGGGATGAAAACAGGTCAGAATGCAAGTCACTTAATCACAGTCTTCTAGAATTATCCATTTATGTTGCATGTATGCATAAGAAAATAATTGTTATGTTCCCAAGGTAAGTTATAACAAGCATGTGCCAGTGTGAAAGTTTGAAGGAAAAAGCTATTCTCTAATAGGAGAATATAAAGATTCATTAAAGATTCATTTATCTCTCACACTAAACTCCACCAAAATAAATCGTTTCAATAGTAAAAGTTTAATAATTTCTTGTGGGTTTTTCTTAAGTCTTTCACTAACTGGATATTTTCACATATTACAGAGGATGACGCTATAGATAAGGAATTCTTTTTCCTCCCTAAAAATAAAACAACCTCAACAGCTTTTTCTTTTCTTTTTTTTTTTTTTTTAGAAGGGCAGGATTTAAGCAAAGCATTGTGAAGAGGAGAAAAGCTCTAGGACTAACAGTATTAACGCAGGTGACTGGGAAGAATTTACTAAACGATAAGAAGGGAACTCTTAAGTATGCTGGGCAGTGAATATTTCAAATGTACATTTTTTAAATACTACATATGGAAGTCACAATTAATTAAACAACATATCCTAAATGATGACCTTTCACAATCCTGATTTAGGTTTTTGGTTTTTTTTTGAGGCTGGGTCTCACTCTTGTTGCCCAGACTGGAGTGCAGTGGCATGGTCTGCAGCTCACTGCAACCTCCACCTCCAGGGTTCAAGCAGTGCTTGTGCGTCAGCTTCTTTGTAGCTGGGATGCCTGGCTAATTTCTGTATTTTTTAGTATAGATGGTATTTTTATTATAGGTTTTGGCCAGGCTGGTCTCGAACTCCTGACCTCAAGCAATCGGCCCACCTTTGCCTCCCAAAGTACTGGGATTACAACCTGATTCAGTTTTACAAATGACTAACAAACTTCCAGAAAACATTCATACAGTCAACAATGTGTTTTATTATAATCTTAGATTTATACATTTCATATATGCTTTTAAAGCTTCAATTAACAGTTCAATACAAAATTTAAAAACAAATAATATGCAGCAGTGGTTCTCAGGCACAGCATTTAGGAGGAGACAGGAGCAAGTCTTTTCCCTAGCATACACATAGTGACTATTATGAACCATAACAGTGGTTATGTTTCCTTCTGACCTAGCTGCCTTTTCAATTGAATTTTGTTAGTGAACAGCTTTCATAGGTATGATATTGCTAACTGGAAACAATGAGATTTAAAATAAATTGATAACCTGTATTTTCTTGAATCGTTGAGACCTAAAATGATTTTCTCCTAATAGAGCTCCAGAATCATCCAATGAAAATAATATTGTCCATAAAGCATCTAGAGTATCTGCCTAAGAACCACTGCCCAGGGTTATTCAATGTCTTCAGGCCTCACAGGATGAGGTAATGGTATGATGGATTTCTTCTCTGTGTCCCTGGAAAGTGCTTTCCTCATATCTGTAAAGAAGCAAAGTTTAATATAATTAAACACCCAAATGTATTATATCAAATTTAAAGCGTATAGGTGAAGTTCCCATAAGAGGTTTATCTTCTACCCCTACTTCCATCAGATTCTAAGCAAAATGTATTTATAAATGAGTCTCCCAATTGCCAAGTATACCAGATGCTAACCAAACCCCACCCAAGATTCAGCTCACAATACATGTTCTTTCTTGTTAGTAAAATAGCATGTCCATAACATAGTAGAACAGTAATGTATAGAAATTAACCATTGGTTAGTTAGTAGGTAAGTTAATTACTACTACTAATAGGTTCATAAAGGTAGGTTGAGGGAGATTTAAATATTAAAGTCAAGTATGATTCTTCTATATTTATTAAAATAACCAAATACTACACTCTGTAGAATGAATGTAACCATTTTGACGGACTTCTTGAGGACAGTGCCATGGAAGGGAGCTTACCATAAGCGTCCTCATCAGGCTCCCCGTTGCTGGCTGAATAGTACTCTATGACTGTCCTGTATACACTGTAGCCCAGTTGCTTGTACATGTTGACTGCAACTTGGTTAGATACTCTTACAAAGAGATCGACAAAAAAACCACCCTTTCTTTAAAAAAAAAAAAAAAAGGAAAATGTTAGAATGTCGGAAACCCTAGAAAGTAATAGATACATATTTTTTTTAAACGTGTTTTTACCTTGCTTTGACTATTACTCAGAATGGTAGTAATAAGACGTTGCAGCTGATTACATGGTAATAGAAATTTATATTACTTAGGATTTATGACAATTACTTTGAAGACTTTATGTTTGCATGCTAGTATTTCAAAAGCTATGACACGTTTTCTTAAAAGATAAAGGTATTTGTTCTGCAGATTGACTACCTATTACAGTTTCTCCTGTGTATGAACTTTATATACATGGAATCATGCATTCTTTTGTCTTTTCTCTCAGTCAACATTGTTAAGAGTCAGCTTCAAGAGCGACTGGGCTTGTCCACCACAAGCCATTCATGGTCCTGTTGATAAACGTTTCTGGCTTTTACTATTACCAATGATGAATACTTTTGTTGAACGTCTGATGTAAGGTCTATAGCTAGGAGTCTCATTGTTGTGTCACAGGGCACAACTTCATTAATTAATGCCAAACTTTTTCCAACTGGCTTGTACCAACTCACACTCACACAGAAGCAAGTAAGCCTCCATTCCACAGTAGCAAGGCTTTGTACATCAGATGTTTCTATTTTTGCCCATCTTACGGTGTAACTATATCTCAGATTTTAATTTTTATTTCCAATTACTAACAATGCTGAATATATTTATTGATTGGCCATTTAGATTTCTCCTTCTGTACAGTACTTAAATCTTTCACACAATTTCCCCCCCGGCTTCAGTTCTCTATGTATTCTGAATATTCAATACTGTGCAATGTCTTTGCAAATGTTTTTCCAATTTGTAGTTTGTCTTGTCATTATCCTTATGGTATCTTTTGATTAAAAAAAGTTACTTCACTTCAGTGAAGTTGAATATATGAATCTTTCCTTTAGTTAGTACTTTTTATGGCCTGTTTAAAAAGTTCTTCTACATCGGGGCCACAGAGACACACTCTCATATTATATTCAAAAGACTTTTTAGTTTTGCTTTTCACATCTAGGTTTTTAATAAGTCTGGAGTTGACTTGTGTGTAGAATAGTGGTAATCTGGGAAATTTTTTTTCCCATAGGGACACCCAATTGTCCAGCCACCTTTACTGAAAAGTCTATCTTCATACTACTGATGTGCAATGCCTCCTCTGTGGTATGTTAAAGTCCATATATTCTTGGGTCTGCTTCTCAAATTCTGTAGCACTGGTCAAGATAACTATAGCACTAAGATACAGACTCACTTTTTACACTCTGATAGCTGAAGGGGAACACCATTTTTGTTGTTGTTCAAGAATATCTTACCTCTTTTTTGCTCTTAAGAAGTTCTATAAACAATACTTGGGATTTTTATTGCAATTACATTGGAACTGTATCCTCTAATCCAGTGATAGCTCATCGCTTCACTTTAAGGGCTACTTTAAGATCCCTCAAAAAAGTTTTAAAAATGTCAGAGAGGTCTTGTATAACACTTGCTAGATTCTTCTTAAGTACTTAATGCTTTTTCATGTCATGGCATCTTTTTCTAAATTTTACTGTTTTTACACACACACACACACACACAATTTTTATACTGACTTTACATCCAACAACTTTGCCTACCTTTTATTAATTCTAAACATTTATTTATAGATTCTTGTGGATTTTGTATTTGTGTAATCGCATCTGTGCAAAATAAGTTTTGTTTCCTCTCAATCCTAGTATCTTTTATTTTTCCTGCTTTCCTGTGCTGTCTAGAATTTCTATTAAATTATTGAAGCGGGACTAACTTGTCCCTGATTTCAAATAAGTATTCAATGTATCGCTACTAAATATATTTACTACAGATTTCTTGTAGATATTTTTCAAATTCAGGAAGTTCCCCTCTTCTATTTCCTAGTTTGTTAACAGTTTTTATCAAGAACGAATATTGGATTTTATCAAGTTTACTGCACTTACTAAAATACCAAGTGTTCTTCTTTAATGTGAAGTTGAAACCACCTTGTTCCTGATGTTCATCCTATTTACATAGTCCCAAATCCATTTTGGTAATTATTTTTCTGGGGTTTTGCCTCTGAATGAGATCTTCCTCAAATTTTCCTTCCCATATTTTGTCAAGTATTGTTATCAGGGTTATCCTGGTCTTAAAAAAAAAGTTGAAGAATGTTCCCTTTTTTGGTTTGTGCAAAACAGTTTGAGTAAAAGTGACCTTTCAATCATTATTTCTTAAATGTTTGGTAAAGTTGGCCAGAGAAGCCACAGCTTTCTTTGTGAAAAGATTTTGGGCTACTGATTGAAATTCTTTAGGGCAGAGGTTGGCTGACAACCTGTTTTTGTACTGCCTTCAAGCTAAGAATGTTTTTTTGCAATGGTTGTTTAGAAAAAAAAAAAAAAAAAAGCCTATGTAACCAAGACTTTAGCTGGCCTTTAATGCCTGAATATTTACTATCTGACCTAGAAGAAAACTGCTAACTCTTGTTCTATACCCTTAACGAATTTCTACCACATTGTTCTGTCAATTAGAAAGAAGCATGTTTAAATCTCCCATTAGTATAATTATTTGTCTATTTCTCCTTGTAGTTTTGTCAATTTGTGCATTTTTACTTTGAAATGATGTCACTCGGTATATACCATTTTTAATTGCTTTTTTGTTTGAAACAGTTTTGCTCTGGCGCCTAGACTGGAGAGCAGTGACGTGATCTCGGCTCACTGTAACCTCTACCTCCCAGGTTCAAGCAATTCTCCTGCCTCAGCCTCCTAAGCAGCTGGGATTACAGTCACGTGCCATGATGCCTGGCTAATTTTGGTATTTTTAGTCAAGACAAGATTTCACCATGTTAGCCAAGCTGGTCTGGAACTCTGGACCTCAAATGATCCGCCTCCCAAAGTGCTGGGATTACAGGCATGAACCACCATAGCCAGCCTTGTTACTTCCTTGAATAAATATTTTATCAATATGCAGTGACCCTTTTTTATGCTGGTAATAATTACTTAACTATAATTTAACTATTACTAATAAGTATTCTAACTTTATTTTGGTTAGAATTTATAAGGTAATTAAAAAATTCACTTTCAATCTTTCTGTATTTATTAAAAATATTTTAACATATTTTACACATATTTCCTGTAAAGAGAATACAGCCTTTGTCTTTTAAATAGAGTCACTGTAGCCGGCCGGGCATAGTGGTGGGTGGCTGAGGCAGGAAAATCATTCGAGCCTGGAAGGCAGAGGTTCCAGTGAGCCAAGATCACGCCACTGCACTCCAACAGAGCAAGACCCTGTCTCAAAAATAATAATAAGATAAATAAATTAAGTCTTAAGTCCATTAACATTTACTGTTGTACTTACTGACAATATTTGGATTGTTGGCTACCATTTTATTTCATGCATTTTGTTTTGCTGGTTTAGTTTCCTTTTTCTCTTTGGGATTGATTTCTATCATTCAGTTTTTCTTCTCTACTTGTTTGCTTTCTATTTTTAATGTGTATATTATGTATACATATATATAATGTATATAAGCATGTATATATGCTTTATATATGTGTATATGTATGCATACCCCTACAAGTAAAGATTACTTAAATCTTAGTAACTATTCTAAAAAATGAAGGCTTAGAAACTGGAAAGGAAGACAGCTTAGTGGTTTTCTACTCAGAAAGAGAATCTATCATATAAACTCCTTAAATTATATGTGCAAGATCATAGGTAGTTACAACCCACTGTTTTTTGTTTTTAATACTGAAGTTCTGGGATACATGTGCAGAACGTGGAGGTTTGTTACATAGGTATACTCGTGCCATGGTGGTTTGCTGCACACATCAACCTGTCATCTACATTAGGTATTTCTCCTAATGCTGTCCCTCCCCTAATCCCCCACCCCGTGACAGGCCCTGGTGTGTGTTGTTCCTTCCCTGTGTCCACGTGTTCTCATTGAACAACCTACTTTCTCTCTGTTCACTATACAATAATGCCAAGTACTTTTTTTTTCCAACATAATGCCATTAATAAATGTGTGTAAACTATAATCATGCTAAAAGTTTTCTTCCCTTCTTTGTTTGGTCTAGGGAGAACTTTAAAAAAATCTTAAACATTAGCAATGGCTTCTTTTTCAGCTAACACAATTTCTTCTTTTCTGAATGAGTCTGAGCTCCTTTTGCCTCTAGTTTGGCTTGAAGCCTTTGTTAGGCCAGTTACTTCTTTAAAACTTGCCTTTATTAAATCTAATAATGAAGTGGAAATTAAGCTCAAGAACCCTCCTCAGCAACTATTCTCTTTCTCACCACGCTTTTAGGCAGTTACAGTGGAGAAAGAAATGGCAGCTTGACAACAGGTCACGTTTATACACACATATCTCTTCTAGAATGAAGATAGGAGGAGGGGCTTTCTCTTTTATTTACTGTATTACTTTTATTGCAGATAATGAAGGGGTTTGATACGTACAACACTTCTCTTAAAAAAAAAAAAGATGCCATGTTCCCAAACTGTGCACTGAGGTGCCGTGAAGTGTCTCAAACTCATATAGCCACCAAAGGATATTTGAAATGTTCACGGAAAACAGCAAAACCTTACATGTCAGATACTGGCAAACTAGTTTGAAGTAGTTCACAAATTCAACATTAGATCATGCTACCTGCCTCTTAATGATGTAATATTTCTATGAAGCTGAGTTTCTGGCAGTTGTTGTGACTAAAAAAAAATACTAGATGAAAATCAATGTGAAGCAGGAATGTAGGTGGTTGTGTCAAGTCATTCAATGTCCAACAGGTGCGCACATCTCATTACTAGCTAGCCACAGTTATTTAAGAATGAAATAAAATATTTTTTCTTTCAAGTTTTTTAAAATGGGTATTAGCTGTTAGGCTATAAATACTTATTAAACATTTAGAATATAACTACTTAAGACTGAATTATTTTCTTTTGGCCGAGGAGCACTGTTTTTTTTGGGTTTTTTTTTGGTTTTTTTTTTGAGATGGAGTTTCGCTCTTGTTACCCAGGCTGAAGTGCAATGGCGCGACCTCGGCTCACTGCAACCTCCGCCTCCTGGGTTCAGGCAATTCTCCTGCCTCAGCCTCCTGAGTAGCTGGGATTACAGGCACGTACCACCATGCCCAGCTAATTTTTTGTATTTTTAGTAGAGACGGGGTTTCACCATGTTGACCAGGATGGTCTCGATCTCTTGACCTCATGATCCACCCGCCTCGACCTCCCATATAGGCGTGAGCCACCGCGCCCGGCCGGAGCACTGTTAAAAATTTATTCCAATGCCAAGGCAATGTTAACAGATGTTAGGAATGTGTGCCACAGTGGCGGGAACACTAAAAGAAACCTTGAGCGCTAGCCTTTGGAACTGATTCCACCAATTCCTCGGCTTGTAGGCCTACAGCAGGTCACTGCAACACTTTGCCTTAACTTCCTCAATGGCAAAATAGAAACAATACCACTTTGACTATGTGACAGAATTTTTGTAAGGACTACTGGAGGTGGAAGAAGATGAAATTCCGGTAAACTATAAAGCATGACAGTTATTCAGCCTGAAGGGACGAAAATGGTTAAGGGTCCACAAATCACTAAGTGTATTTGAAAAACCGAATCTCACCTCTCTGAAATCTCCTCTAATAACTCCATAAGTTTAGCAGCCAAACCAAGGCGTCGAAATTCTGGGGCAACAGACAGAGCTGTGACGTGCCCGTGCCATTCTTCCCTAGCTACTGAGCCTTCTGCTTTACCCATAACTGCCAACAACAAAAAAGTCACATTCAGTAACTAGACATTGATTTATACATAATTATAGAATTACTGTTCAGTACATTTTTATTACAAAGGAAACTAATAACCAAGTTTTAATCTTTTTTTTCTTTTTTTGAGACAGAGTTTCGCTCTTGTTACCCAAGCTGGAGTGCAATGGCGCGATCTCAGCTCACCGCAACCTCTGCCTCCTGGGTTCAAGCAATTCTCCTGCCTTAGCCTCCCAAGTAACTGGGACTACAGACATGCGCCACCATGCCCAGCTAATTTTTGTATTTTTAGTAGAGACAGGGTTTCACCATGTTGACCAGGATGGTCTCGATCTCTTGACCTCGTGATCCACCTGCCTCAGCCTCCCAAAGTGCTGGGATTATAGGCGTGAGCCACTGCGCCCGGCCTCCAAGTTTTAACTTTTAAGTACACCTGAGGTCATCCACCAGCTAACACTTAGTGCTTTTATCTGAAATTCACTTGCAAATATAACACTATATGTAGTTCTAAAATCAGAATTAGAACAAGTTAAAAAGGAATGATAGACTTAAAACACAACTAATTTTGAACAAAGAACCAGAGTATGTATTTTTTCAAATATCTACATTTCATATGGGTTTGGATATGTGTGGGTACACGTAGAGGTACATATGCAGTTCAGAGCTAAAGATTTTGTTAGTAATGCTGCTAATTCAGTGAAGATGCTATGATGCCTGCATTATGTACTAAATAAACCATGTAGAAATTTAACAAAAGTATAGAATGAAAGATTTTTTTTTTTTTTTTTTGAGACAGAGTCTCACTGTGTGTCACCCAAGCTGGAGTGCAGTGGCGTCTCAAGGCTCATGGCAAATTCTGCCTCCCGGGTTCAAGCGATTCTCCTGTCCCAGCCTTCCGAATAGCTGGGATTACAGGCACCCAACACCACGCCCGGCTAATTTTTTGTATTTTTAGTAGAGGCGGGCTTTCACCATGTTGGCCAGGCTGATCTCGAACTTCTGACCTCAAAGGATCCACTTGCCTCGGCCTCTCAAAGTGCTGGGATTACAGGCATGAGTCACTGTACCGGCCTTAGAATGAATTTTTTTTTTTTTTAAGATGAAAGATTTAAGAAGAGTAAAACTATGTCTTTCTGGTTCACTGCCATTATCACCTGGGCCTAGCACCATGCCCAAAACACAGAAGAGATCAGTACGTTGTCGAATTGTTGAAGAGGAAATAAAATTACAAGCATCATGGTTATATTCCAATTCTTCAGTCTAAAGCAATCGGTTGAAACCTCTATTAAAATCTTTACCTACTCCCCAGAATACTAGTGGTACTATACTTACTGTAACCCATTAATTCTCCACCTGGTGCCTCTGCAACAATGAAATACTCTGGCCAATGGGCAAGGTACTGTAGGTAAAAAGGAATCCCATACTAGGGTGCTGTTAAGGAGTGTAAGAAGTAATGGACAGTAGAAAGCCCTTCATTCAGGGATATCGTAAAAAATAAAACGTTTCCTTTAAAAAGCATACTGTTACATTATCCCCAGCTCCTATAATCATACATACCATTATATAAAATACTCAGGTTATCACTGATTTTTAACCAAATTGCCTGGACATATACTCTCGAGTGTGGAATGGAGATAGCAGTGTCTAATAGAAAGCGGAGAATCAGAACCCCAAAGTTCCACAGTCTACTTCCCTACTGACCATACCATATCTAAGTCTCGGCATTCATAATCACCTGATATTATTTGTTTGTGGTCTGCCTCCTCTTACTCTATGAATGTCATGTTCCCTCTATCCCTGGTGCGTGGTACATAGATGTTCAATACATTGATGCTTATGTAATTGCATTGAAAAATTAATGGCTAGCTCCTACTTTGACTTCAGCTATGAGACTGTGAAAATAACTTTACAACCTAAGTCCTTCCAGGGGCAACTTAATTATCCAGTTTTTCCTCTCCACTGATTCAAATCCTGCACTTTTTTGTAATGTAGATAAAAGATGACTTAAGGAATCAACTATGTTAACAGTAAATGCCTGAGTAATTTGCTCATGACTTAACTCTTCAACCTTGAGAGGTCCTTACTGTCATGTACTCATTCCTACATTTCTCTTTACTCTGTACTTTAATGGATGAAAATTATTTCTTGTTAGTATAAACTTTCTGACGCAATTTATAAGAGAACACCATTAATAATACATACACGTATTTTTTTAAGTTCCTGAAAAACCTGTTCGGTATGAAATTCTTCAAAATCTCCTCTGAAGGACCATCATTATTTTGAATACTCCTCAAACAAAACCCTTATGGCAGGCCAGCCAGTCTTCCTGCCAGCCAGCCACTAACATACACCACAACCATCTCTCCGTTGGCTAACAGAGGAGCGCCACACACCCCTCCCTGCCATCTACCTCTAGGACCTAACAGGATACTTTCAAATATGGGCTCACCTGGATTATGGGACTTTCACTGTCAATTTTAAATGTCACTGGAAGCACACCATATAAACGGATTTGCATTCTAAAATATTCCCTTCCTATATGGAGAAATTTTTGTCATTCAGCATTCTTCAAAAATCTTTAAGTGGTGATATCGTTAGTCATAATTTAAAAAATACGGATAAACACTTTGGAGACTTTTTGCTTTTCCCATTCAGTTTTGTTTCTGATATGTAGTCCTGTTGCTGCCTGTACCTGTAAGTTCATTTTTACTGCTGTATCATATTTCCTTATGTGAAGAGACAGCTTAAATAGCCTGTATCCTGACAATGTACAGCTGGGTCATTTCCAGTTTCTCAAAGTTTGAAATCCTTCTTCAGTACAGCTTAATTTACTTAACCATCTCCTGATTGTTGTATGTGAATGTTATTCCAAATGCTTAGTAACTCTCCTGCAATAAATACTTTTTGTAATGGTATAACTCAGGGGTTAGCAAACGTTTTCTGTAAAAGGCAAATAGTAAACATCCCAGGCTTTGTGGGCCATACAGTCCCTGCTGGAACTACTCAAACTGCAAAAGCCACAGACAAAATAGAAATGAATCAGCATGATGTGTCCCACTGAAATTTTATTTACAAAAATGAGCAGTGGGCCAGATTTGGCCTACGGGCTTTGTTTTGTCAACCACTGACAAACTGCTTCTATTTCTTCTTCTTTTCAGTTTTCAGGAAATGGAATTACTATTTCTAAAGTGCCTTCCAGAAAGATAATAGCAATTTATACTGTCACTGGCAATTTATGAGAATGTTCCTCTCACCTCACCATCATCAGCACTGAGGTTCATCATTTTTTTAAAATCTTGGTTGATGTGATAAATAAAATATGGCATCTCATTTTGGTTTTAATTTATGTCTTTTGACTGGCGAGACTGAACTCTTAACACCTTCATTAAGCTCCTATATGCCCTCTTTTGGTAAATTACCAGTTAGCAGAACCCTCCTACCCAACTACAGTAGACACAGAATATAACCCAGAATCCGAGCTTTCTGTTGTAAGCCACTGGAGATGTGGGGTTATCTGTTACAACAGCATAACCAGAGTACCCCATCTTAACATCTTTGCCCCATTTTTCTATTGGGACCACAATAAACACTGCTAATTGTTACTTTAAATCCTCTATTCACTTTAGTAACAAGTCCCAATTTATAAAGCGGGGCACATTTCTGGACTCTAGATAGGATTCGGTGGAGCATGAAACAGGTGCTGTGCTGGTCAGTGAGACAGAAGGGGCTGCGCGGCATTTCCCAAAGGTACTCTTAAAAGGGAGGAACACTCTCATCTTCCCCTGTTTTGATTCTGCCGCTGGAAACACGGCTATGATGCTGTTTGCTCTGGCAGCCTCTGGAACAAGATTAAGGATACCCTGGGAGTAGTCCAGTGCTTAAACTGCAAAGGGCCTGGCTGTTGGTGTCTTCATGGAACCATCACCTGCCTGGGACTGCTTATCTCCAGACTTTGTTTACACTTGAGAGATGAAGCCACCTTGCTGAAGTCACTGTGCTTTCTGTTGTATACAGTCATGCTGACTCCTGAAAGGCAAGGCTGGCAGGAGAGCTATGATGTTACAGATTACACGAGGTCATGATATTAACAGTCTGTCAGCAGATCTAAGACAACCCTTGTTCTCAGTTTCATTTTTTAAAATTGCTTTCAGTGTTGTTTATGATGTTTCCTGACCTACAAGTTTTTAAATTTTTCAGTGCTCATCTGTGTTTTCCTTCTCTTTCTCTATTTTCTTTACTGTCAGTAAATCTTCATTCAGCTTTCTTTTGTAAAAAAGGATACAGTTTCTGTAAGTGGATCCAAGTTACTGAAAGAAATGAGAAATAGCAATAGTAAGCAGCATTTACAATAACCAGTTTAAATAAGCCTGCTAAACAATAATATGCCACAGGAAAACAAAACATGCTTAATTGACAACGTTAAGGCCAACTTTAGGGCTGAGGAAGATGATTTAATCTACCTAATGCCATAATAAGCTGTCATAGCAGCTATTAAGGTGTTTGTACATTTTTTCATTTAACTGTTGCCTGCCTCTTTAAAACTGAAGTTATTAAATCTACATCTCGCATTTTCTAAGTGGCAATAAATTGCTAACAGAACTGAGGACCAGCTAGGGATGAATCTCACTGAGACAGAAGGTCAAACTCGCCCGCTGCAGCATCCTCCGTGGATCCTCCCTGCCTGTGTCTGTCTTCCCTGACAACTGCTCTTCTACTCCACCCTCTAAACGTGGTCACTCCGACCACTCTGTTTTTGCTCCCCACTCCTCTTTTATACTCCTATCTCCCTGTCTCCACCATCCCCATTCCTTTGCATTCCATCACGTGTTCTTAGTAGATGCCTCCCGACCTGGCTCTGATGCTGTGAGCGCCTCAGCAGCACATCCCAGCAAACCATTCCCAAATGAGCATTCTGAAAACCCATCTCCTCCGTCCCCAAACCATTCTGTCCCCTCACTTCCCTATTCTATTAATGGAGCCACTATTTTGTCAGGCTCGAAACCAGCTACTTTTGAACTGTTCCGATTTCTAGTCAAATTCTCCTCTGAGACCCATAACGATGCTAGGAATAACGCATTTCTGTAGTCCAGCAGTTTTTAAACTTTTTGGTTTCAGAACTCCTTTACACTAAAAAGTTACTGAGGAACCCAAGGAACTTTTGTTTATATGGGTAATATCTACTGACACTTAAAATTTTTTAATATTAAAATGTTAATATTTTTAAAAATTAAAGATTAAATTTTATTTAAAATGTATTATTTAACTTTTAAAATTTAAAAATAATAAATCAGTTACATGTTAACACAAATAACTTTACAAAAAAGTCACTATACTTCCCAAAACAAAACAAAATCCAGTGACAACAATGGCACTGTTTTAACAATTCTGCAATGTCTTGCTTAAAAGACAACTGGATTCTCAGGCATTTGTAATGCTTGCTGCTGGAAGATCAAGCCTCGGGACGCTCCACTGTTCATTTGTGAGAGGAGGACAGTGGAAAAGGTGAAAAACCTTAATACCTCATGAAAATAGCTCTGACGTCACAGAACACCTGAAACAATCTTGGGGACCCCCAAACCCTTACCCGCACCTTGAGAATCATGGCTCTAATACTGTGCAGGGAGTCACTCCCACACTTCTCAACTGCTTTATCTCCTCCTGTCTGCCTACCTGTACCCCTACTCCACCCCTGCCATCTCAGGGCCTTCCTATTTCATTCCCAGGAAAAGACAACAGGAAGAAGAAGCCTTCACCAAAGTCCCCCAACCGAACCTATGCACACAGGCTTCTGTGCCCATATGCTACTTGCTCTCCTGGCACTGGGCACACAGTGCGGCCAGAGACCCCCTCAGTACTCGGGACCCTCCTCCTGCAATTCTCTTTCCCTCCTGCATCTGCATCTTCAATTTCTCTTTCCTGGAAGAAATGCACAGATATGTGCACTGAGCCATCAGCTGCTCTTGAACAGCTTCCCATTCCTGGGGCAGCCTGACATGATGTCTTCACTCAGCCTCAGAGACCACGGGGTTTTCCTCTCACCTCGCTGAGCCACATGGTCTCCTTTACTCAAACGCTTGATGCCCTATGGCACCATCTTACAGCCTTTTAGCCTTTTTTTCCTACACTTATGTCAACCCCCAAATTTCTGTCTTTAGCTCAAACCTAATCTTGAGACACCCATGCCCAGGTGTCTTCCTGGCCCTTCCACCTGGGTTTCCTGGTGCACTTGGCAGAGAAGCCCAGGTCTTTTGATTGCCTCTCCTGGCTTTGCCCTTCTAACTCTGCTGTTAACCGCTTACCCTCCCACGTTCTCTGTTCCAGCCATGAGGCCCACCTCCTATTTGAAACAGGGTGTCTTCACTTACAGTTCCCTCTATCTGGAAGCTCCCTTGCCCCCCAGTTTTCATGTAACTCATTTCCTAACTTCCCCAGGTCTCTCTTCAAGGGCACTCTCCCTCAACACCCAAGCTAAAGCTGAATCCCCACTCCCTTCCAACTTTCCTTCTCTGCTGGTATTCTCCTTCGTAACTGAAGCTAAGTTCCAAATGACTTCCCGTACAGTATTAGATCAGTGAATCCCAAGGTGTGGGTCAGGATTTGGGGTTGTCCCCAAAACTGTTTCAGGTGTTCTATGAAGTCTGAGCTATTTTATGATACACTAAGGCTTTTAGAGGGGAAAATGTACATTCTATAAAGACACGTTTTTATATCTTGTTCACTGATACATCTCTAGCACTGGCACACAGTAGGCACTCAAATATTTTTCCAATAATAAAATATGTGTTAAATTAATTGCAGTGTTCTACATCCATGGATTCTTTCGATTCCAACTGCAACATCTAATCTGAGTTTTTCTCAGAGTTTTCTACCAAAATCAAAGAGGTAAGAACATAGAAAAAAATACGGTCACGGTGTAGTGGCTCACAACTGTAATTCCAGCACTTTGGGAGGATGAGGTGGGAGAATCACTTGAGCCTGGGAGTTCCAGACCAGCTTGGGCAACAAAACAAGACCTTGTCTCTATAAAAAATTTAAAAAATTGGTGGGATGTTGCAGCACGTGCCTGTAGTCCCAGCTACTCAGGTGACTGAGGCAGGGGGACAGCCTGGGCCTGGGAGGTTGAACTAGAGAGAGCCATGATTGTGCCACTGCACTCCTTTTCTGGGTGACAGAGTGAGATCCTGTCTCAAAAAATAAAAGAAAATGGGGAATAAGTGGAGCTCCCCTACTGGCACATTCTGAAGAGGCCACATGATTCTCTGAAATCTAGTATTTTCTTGCTAAGTGTTCCTGTGTATTTTCTTCCTATTCTTTTCCATATAAAACTGTTGTCCTTTCCTAGATCTTCAGTTAAAACTGGTTCTCCATGACAGAAACTGGCTCTGCCTTAACTTTTCCTGAAGCTTCAAGACACCCTGTCACCTCCCATGCTGCACCTCCCAAACTGAAGCCTCCGTCATCATCTCTGGGCCACTGCCAAGGCCTCATAAATGGCTTACCTGCCCAGTTTACCTGCTCTCATCACATCACAGCCCACAGAGCTCAGTGGTTAAGAGTCTGAATCCATCGCCAGGATTTTACAGTGAACATTCTGCTACACTGGCTTCATCATCCCTTCCTGCCCATCTGCCAATCCTAGATCCACTTTTTAAAACAATAAGGCAGTATGTGAAAACTAAGAACCAAGTGGTGCTGACTGAAGTGTCAGGAGGATAGAAAGAACTATGGGATGAGATGGCTGGGAACATTTCAAAGAGGGGGTGAGACTTTCCAGAGGTTCCAGGTGGGTTAAGACCCACTCGGAGCAATGGGTTGCAAATGGAATGTGCATGTCTAACATGGTTCCTGTGGTCAGGGACCAAATCTTTCAGAACCACTGCTCCAGAGCCAATCTCTTTGGATGAAATTCCTTGCTTTACTCACTCACACCTGGGCCAATTCACTTGCCATGCCTTAGTTTACTCATGCACAAAATGGGGGTGACAGCACCTCAAAGAGTTGTAAGGATTAACTGGATTACGACATGAGCACTCAGAACAGTGCAGGGGACAATGAGTTCAACACAAGTCACTGTAGCTATGACGCTTAGACCAGGCTGGCCCAACAGAAAATTCTTTCCACAGGATCAAGTGTAAATCTCTCCAGTGACTGCACTGTTAACTGGCTGCTCAGTGACAGAAACCAACCACTAGATTCACACCGATCCCAGCTGTCTGACCACACTTCAAGTTTCTCCACTTTCACTCCCTGCTACTCTGGAATTTCCTTCTTCCTCACTTACCAATGTGTTATCCATCCTTCAAGGTTCACCCACTCTTTGAAATATTCCCAGCTATCTCATCCCATAGTTCTTTCCATCTTCTTCACACTTAAATTGGAACGACTTGGTTCTTAGTTTCCATGGTGGGAGCTTATTTTTTAAAAATGGATTTAGGACTGATAGGCAGAGAGACAACCAGCATAACAAAATGTTAACTGCAGAATCCAGAAGAAGTGTCTGTAGAAGCACATGGTGAAATTCCTCCAACTTTTCTTTTCTTCTTTTTGAGACGGAGTCTCCCTCTGCCGCCAGGCTGGAGTGCTGTGGTAAGACAGCAGCTCACTTGCAACCTTCACCTCCCGCCTTCAAGCGATTCTCCTGCCTCAGCCTCCCGAGTAGCTGGAACTACAGGAACGCGCCACCACGCCCAGCTAGTTTTTTCTATTTTTTAGTAGACACGGTTTCACCATGTTGGCCAGGATGGTCTCAATCTCTTGACCTCGTGATCCGCCCGCCTCGGTCTCCCAAAGTGCTGGGATTACAGGCGTGAGCCACCGCGCCTGGCCTCCTCCAACTTCTCTAAACGTTCGAAAATCTTCATAATAAAATGTTTTCTTAAAAAAAAAAAAAAAATAGAACCTGCAAATCAGAGGTCTGGCCTTAACTCGAATTCAGAGAAACTGAATCCAGGGCTCTGCGCACAGCGAGCCTCCCCTAGGATCTGCCCTGACACCTCATGGAGGAAAGGTGTCTACACTGGGGTGTGCAGCTACAGTAACTAAACTTGCAATCACCAGCCACGACTGAGACAGTATCCGCTGCAGGGGCACGGTGATCAGCGTTATTTCATTTAGCTACAATTTAACCACGGCCACCAGGTGGGCTTCACGATGTACGCATCCCAGTAGCTGCTGACCCGTTTCCGACCCTCGCAAGTCCCCTCTGCGGCCGGGCCTTCGGCGGTGCCCACTGCCCAGCAGAGGCGCGGCCCAGCCACCAGCCTGCAAGCAGCCGGGCGAGGAGCCCAGGTCCTAGGCTGGAGGCCGCGCCCCCGGCTCGCCCCATCGACCCAGCACGTCCTGACAGCGACCCTGAGCGGCGGCCGGAGCGCTGCCCCAGGACCCAAGAGCTCGCAGGGTCCAGAGACAAAGTTTGAATACTTTGGCCAAGGTCGCCACGGCCGGCGCGCGTCGACCCCGGGTCCACCCGTCCCTGGACCCTGTGACCCCAGAGAGGCGCCCTTGTCGGCCGACTGCGGTGGTTCTCGCGGGTCCCCGCCCGGATTTGGGGTCCAGCCGGGAGGGCGCGGCCGGGAAGCAGGGCCGGGCCAGGAGCGGCTATCCCTAAGCGCGTCTCACTTACATGTTGTTGAAGCGGAACAGGTCGTCGCAGGTGAAGGCCCGGAGCGTGGTCATCTTGCCGTCGCCGCTTCCGAAACCCGTAAGCCAAGACCCTGCGCCCGCCCCGCCGGAAGTCTCCCGGAGCGCGGCCGCCGCGGAACCCAGGGGCCGAGGTACTGCTTCCGGGCCACGAGTTCCTCGGCAATGACGGCAGCGAAGCAGCTTCCTCTGGCGGCCGGCGGCGGGAATTGCCAGCCAGTTCCTGTAAGGCCTCCGGGGCTCTGGCTGCTCAGAGCTTCGGAACTCCCGGGAAGCGGCTGCAAAAAGCAGGCCTCGACACCTGGCAAGGAAAAAAGCTGCTAGGGATGCAGAAACCCAAGCAGAGGAGCGGGGTTCACAGCCACCTGGTGCTGCAGAGTAAATGAGGAACGGGAGACCGCTTGTCCCAGGGATGCGAGTCGCAGATGTCATCTTAAAATGCCAATACCACGTTTAAATACAAAAAGAAGGCCGGGCGCGGTGGCTCACGCCTGTAACCCCAACCCTGGGAGGCCGAGGCGGACGGATCGCTTGAGGTCTGGGGCTTGAGACCAGCCTGGCCAAACGGAGGGAAGAACGAAAGGAAGAGAGGATGGGAGGAAGGAAGGAAGGCGCGTGCCTGTCCTTGGAGGCTGAGGCAGGAGAATCCCTTGAACCCGGAAGCGGAGGCTGCAGTGAGCGGAGACCTCACTACTCCACTCCAGCCTGGGTGAGACTCCATCTCAAAAATAAATAAATAAATAAATAAATGCAAAAAGAAGTGTAAAATTGATTTTGATAGTACACTTTATTTTACCCATTTATTTTTCCCTGACCTCACTTTATTATACCTGAATATCATTTCAGCCTGGCCTCGAGGATTCTGGGGACAAATTCACTGGTAATCTCATAAGAGCATGCTTATGAATGACATATTGCTTTTCACTTGCTGCTTTCAAGATTCTTTTTTCCTCTGTGACTTCTGAAACTGTGCTGATAGTGTTTTACATCTCTTCTTGCTTATACCATTGATGTGTTGAGCTTGTTTCTGCATCTCTGTTCTTTCTTTGGAGAAGTTTTCAGTAATTATTTTCTTTCATATGTTCAGTTTCTGAATTCATTTGTTATACTTTAAATCTTTTTATTGGTATTGTCATTTTCCTGATTTAGTTTTCTGTTTTCCCATTTTTATACATTGAGCATTATTCAAATGATAATTTTTTTTCAGCTAATTTCTGCATCTCCATTGTTTTAGGGTTGATTTCTGAACCTTTTTTCATGTCTTTAATTGTGCCACATGACCCTAATACTTTGAACAGGTAATCTTTGATTGAGATTCAAGCATTAACAAAAAGCCACCTGCCACAACTCTTTTAATGTGACTTTCTCCTGGGGTAGACTGAAACAAATTGGCCCAGATGCTAGAAGTCTCTTAAAGCCCGTTCTGAAGATGTGTCTTGTGTGGAATTGTGTGTGTATTTTTCAGTGAAAGGGGGTTTCTCGGGTTTCTTCATAGTGGCCTGTGGTCACCTGATCCACCTGTTACTGGTGGTGCTGCTGCAGCCTTCCTGCTGCGGTCACCGGGATTTCCTTTTGGTCTCAGAGACCCAACCTATCATTCAGAGGACCCCCATTTCTTTCAGGACTCCATGTCATCAGGGGCAGAAACCAGAATTTGCCATAGCTTCAAAAGGAGAAACGTAAAAACACTTGTGTTAGTATTTTCTTTCTTTGTTGAAGGAGATACTACGAGTTGAGGGTTGACTCTTACAGGCATTCTGCTCTACTGCAGAGGAGCAGGGGCTGTGGGGGTGGCGTGAAAATAATCAACTTTTTTTTCTTCTGATGTGGCTCTTAACATTGTGCTCACTTGGTGTGCTGCAAACTCTGAAGTGGTTCTTAGAGTTCCGATGCATTTTCTCACTAGTCATTGTTACATTTATATGTTACAAAAAAAATTAGGGCCTGCAGTATTTTTTGTGCCATTTAGCTAATGTACTCAGTATTATTTTATAGATAAGATTCATAAAGTATATTCATCCGTGTCTAGTAAGTGGGGAAAGTTTTGTTTATTTTTTTTTCAGCTATGTTGTCCTATTTTACCCAAGACCTTTTGCCAGAGCAAAACATACAAGATGCATTCCCAAAATCAATACTGAGAGGATATGGAAATGGTGGCCTTGATAATTTCCACTGGAGGAAAGACTGGGGAAAAGTAGATGAATGTAAGTTGCAGAAAGAAGATTATAATGCACTTAACCAATGTTCATCAACTACTCATAGCAAGATATTTCAATGTAGTAAATGTGTTAAAATCTTTAATAATTCTTCAGATGTACGTAGTCATAATATAAGTCATACTGGAGAGAAACCTTTCAAATGCAAAGAACCTGGCAAATCCTTTCAAATGTTCTCATTCCTAACTGAACATCAGAAAATTCACACAGAAAAAATTTCCAAAAATGTAAAGAATATGGCAAAACCTTTCACCAGTGCTCACACTTTACTGAGCATGAGAACATTTGTACTAGAGAGAAACCTTACAAATGTAAAGAATGTGACAAGGTTTCTAAAACTTGCTCAGCCCTTATTAAAGATAGATTTTACACTTCAGGAGAACATTAGAAATGTGAAGAATTTGGCATTAGTATTTAATTCCAAATTATGGCATTATTTAATGCCACATACTAATGCCAAATTATTTCATGCCATTATACAAGTGGCATTAGTATTTAATACAATTAGTATTTGTCAAAAGTATTTCAACAGTGCTCCCGCCTTACTGATGGTAAGGACCATGGCACTGAGAAAAAACTCCAGAAATGTGAAGAGTGTGGTAGTGTCTTTATCTCTTGCTCAAGGCTGTCTAATCATCACATGATTATCGCTGGAGAGAAGCTCTCCAAGTGTAAAGAATGGTAGAAGCCCAAGTCATTCCAAACATCAGAGAAATGAGATTGGAGGAAAATCTTTCAAATGTGGGGAATGTGACAGCATCTTCAGGTGGTTCTCAGACCTTACTAAACATAAGAGAATTCACACTGGTGAGAAACCAGACAAATGTGACGAATGTGGGAAAGCCGATACCCAGGCCTCACACCTCATTGAATATACGAGGATTCACAATGGAGGGAAACCCTATCAATGTGAAGAATGCAGGAAAGTCTTCAGAACTTGCTCAAGCCTTTCTAATCATCAGAGAACTCATTGTGAAGAAAATCCCTATACGTGTGAAGAATACAGCACCATCTTTAAGCAGTCATCAGACCTCAATAAACCTATGAAAACCCATACTGGAGAGAACCCTTACAAATGTGACGAATGTGGAAAAAACTTTACCCAGTCCTCAAATCTTATTGTATATCGGAGAATTCCTGCTGGAGAGAAATCCTACAAGTGTAAAAAATGTGACAAAGCCTTTACCCAGTTCTCACACCTGACTGTACATGAAAGCCTTCATATTTGAGAAAAAAATAAACAAATGCAAAAATAGGGAAAGCCTTTAGTAACTGCTCACATCTTACTTTACATCAGAGTTCATACTTAATCAAGTTATTATAAAGATAACGACTGTTGAAAGACCTTTCATGAAATACAAGTTTCCAGAGCACTAAAGAGCATTTCTTCTGAAAAAAAGAAAATTAGAAATATGTTTTATATTAGATGGAAGCCTTGCATCAACTGCCTGAACTTTATTCAAATTCAGAGAATTTGTGTTGGAGACAAACCCTTCAAATGTCATAAAGTGGAATAACATTTGTTCAGAAACTATAGCTTAGAAAACACCAGGGTTCATACCAAAAGATATTTTTCAAATGCAATAAGTGGGAAAAATAAGCAAAATCAAGTCTAAGTAAACATTAGGGAAAGAGAAAGGAACAGGGCACTCACATGTTCGGGCATGACACTGAATCAGTGTTGAGTCTACAGAGTAAAATAGATAATTCATTCATATTTATGATTAAAAGGAGGATGATATTTATTTTTTGTAGAGTTTTAAGTACATTCAGGATACACTTTTTTGCATTGAAAAAATGTTAAATAGTTTGAAAAACCAATATTGATGTAATTCAGCTCTCAGATCAATTGATGCTATGTCTTTATTTCTAGTGCTGACGTGAAAACACATGCTTAATGGTTGCTGCATCAGAGATATGAGAAGTTATTTTATATTAAGTGTGCATCGCTGATATACTTTTCCACGAAAGGTGAAAGACGCTGAAATGTAAGATACGTGAGTAAAATATTGCTAAAAAGTCTCTTTGTAATTGTCTTATATACCTGTAAGTGATTCATGAGTTAAGTGTTTAATATTCTTCTGCATTATAGGAAGAGAGAATCATTTTGAATTTTATAAATCATTGGTTTCAGCAGTATTTCATTATGGTAATATACCGTAAGTTTTGAAATGTTTTTTAAGATTCTATGTGAACTTAATTTGTTTTTAATTGAACACAATTGTGTTAAATGTGTTAGATCTGGTGCTCATGGAATAATGTGTTATCCTACCAAAAATCAATTCCATCTTACTCAACGGTGTCGATAACGGACGGCAACAATCTACTCTCCGATGGCAGAGTGGAGTAACATCTTCAGTGATCTTCATTCCCAGTGACTTTTTAACTGCAAGTAACTGGAAGAATATGGTTCTCATAGTTTTTTATACTTTTCTTTGTAACTACAGAGTCATCATTGTTATAATAAAGATTATACAGAAGTATAAATAAATACCTATATTTCTGAGTAATTTAAAATTTTTTCCTGTAATTTTTCTTGGATGTACAACCCCTCTGCCCTGCAAAACACAGAGAGAGTTTAAGTTGTGATTTGCATGGAGGTAAATATACAAATATATAACTGTAAACATAAACTAGCCTGGGCATGGTGGCTCACAGCAGTAATCCCAGCACTTTGGGAGGCCAATATGGGAGGGTTGCTTCAGCTGAAAAGTTTGGGACCAGCCTGGGCAGCATAGTGAGTGACACCTGTCTCTACTACAGATTTTTAAAAATTAGCTGGGAGTGATGGTGCACACTTTCAGTCCCAGCTACTCGGGAGGCTGAGGTGGAAGGACCATGTGAGCCTGGGAGATGAAGGCCGCAGTGAGCTGTGTTCATGCCACTGCACTCCAGCCAGGGCAGTAAAGTGTGCCCTTGTCTAAGAAAACAAGAACCAAACACAATAGAGATAAACTTTAGGTTTAAGAGAATTAACGGAGCACGTAATTGTGTTTGTGTGAGTGTGGGTGTCTACCTGTTTTGAAAGTACACACGACAAAGAAAATAGCAAGATTGGATTCAAACAGATAATTTTAAT